ATCGTGGCGTCATTCAACTTGTTAAAAGCATGCACGATGCGCCAACCGCCGGTGGCTTTCTTCACACAGAAAGTCGGACTCGAATGTGGCGATATGCTTTCGCGGACGTGTCCTGCCTTACGGCGGCCCTCAAAAAATTCATCAATTGCGATGACTTGGTCACGCGGTAGCGGCCACTGCCGCGTCACGCAATACTTCGATCCTGGCACGAGATCGATCTCGTGTCGCACACCACGATCCGCTGGAAGCTCAGCGGGGATATTCTCCGGAAAGATGTCGGCATACTCACGCGCGATATCATAGACAGGGTTGCCCGAAGCACGAAGGGCTTCCCAAGACTGTGCCACGAAACGTTCTTCGCGCGCTGATTTGGGCTCAGCGCTCTTTGGGCGAGCCTCCAGAACTTCTCCACTAGCTGCTTCGGCGGCTGATATGATGCACACTTGCTCGATGTCGCCGGCCTTGAGGTCGTGAAGAAAATCTTTCCATGGTAGGGTTAATAGAGATGTGATCTCTGCAACAGTGCACGGAGGGCTCGCTACCTCAACGTAGCGGCCACGATGTGAAGACCCTTCCACATATTCAAGCGCACAAACGGATTCCGTCAATACAGTATCATCGTCAACGGCGCTTGAGCGAGAATTTCGTCGTCTTGGTGATCGGCGTGCACCTTTCTTGCGTTTACGCTTTCTCTTGCGTCTTGAGCCACTGCTCGAGGCTGGAACGTCGCTGTCGCTGGAGGATGAAGTACCCCCCGCTAGACGTGGGAGCTCTGTCTCCACCACGTCGTTCACATTTAAGTCCACAGCCCGTTCATTCTCGTCGATAAGAGGCGGGAGCTCGTCGTCGACCGCCTCAGATGTATGTGGGAGCCTCTGCTCGACCACCTCGGTTACAATCGGGAGCCTCTGCTCGGCCGTTGTGTGTGTATGCGGGAGCCCCTGCTCGACCGCCTCGCTAGAACTCGGGAACCCCTGCTCGACCGAAGTCCGTGTGTGCGGGAACCCCTGTTCGACCGCCTCGTTGTGAATCGGGAGCCCCTGCTCGACCGATGTCCGTGTGTGCGGGAACCCCTGTTCGACCGCCTCGTTGTGAATCGGGAGCCCCTGCTCGACCGATGTCTGTGTTTGCGGGAACCTCTGTTCGACCGTCTCGTTGTGAATCGGGAGCCCCTGCTCGACCGATGTCTGGGTTTGCGGGAACCTCTGTTCGACCGCCTCGTGTTGTGGTTCTATCAGTGTGACTGAACATACCGGACACAGAGGGCCATCGCTCTCTCTGTGCTGACTTCTAGTCGTGGCGAGTTCGTTCACGACCCTGACGTGAGGCCAATCGGATGGCGCTACCAACAGATGAGTGAAAACTTCACTTACGTCGTAACCGCTTCGTCGTTTGACGGACCGAGATAGCCAGTCTATCGTCGGCTGATATCGTGACAGCCACGGTATCCCCAAGATGCAATCGAATGCATAATTCATCTCGTACACCAAAAATTCGTCATTACTTTGGAAGCCGTCGAACGTGTACGGCAAAACCACTGTTTTACGCGGGACACGCTGTGGTTGTCCATCAGCAAGTTTGACAACGATGTCACCTGGACCTTCTCGAACCGTAACTGTCGACGGGAGAAGGGACAAACATGATGCTCGAAAGAAGTTGTTGGATGCACCCGAATCCAACAACGCTCGAAGTGGTCGTTTAACTCCAGCAACGATGAGACTGATAATTATCAGTCTCGAATCGTCGCGCATAGTGGTGGCATTGAAGTGGGTATGTATCACTTTAGGGCTAGGAGCCCGAGCTGCCACCTGAGTACTCGGGGCTCCATTACTGCCAGTAGGGCGCCCCGCACCTACTGGAACCGCTCATTTCTTGGCGGGACCACGGACGACACAGTATCTCCACGTAAGTCACTTGTGTTCATGGACACCGGCGCAGGTGATCGGCAGACGGCCGCACGATGGCCAGTCTTGCCGCACCGATAACACTTCATCGTGTTTTGACTTCGAATGTCGCGGCCAAATTGCTTGCCGCGACCACGAGATGCATCGATAACGTCAATTTCCATAGGCTCTGGGCCAGACGTACGCGGGCGTTGCGACGCTGCCTGCAAATATGACGATGCGACCGTGTAATCTTCACGAAGCGCGAGGGCAAATGCCTCCTCAAGAGTCTTAGGTTCAGCACGTGTGAGGCAATAGCGGGTCATGCCCTCTTGCATACCAAAGACAAAGACATGAACTTGAGACGCCATGTCGACCGGCTTCGTGATGATACACGAAGCAAGATGTCGCGTCTTCTGTACGTAATCACGCATCGACAGCTTGCCCTGTCGAAGTGAAAAGAAATCTGCGCGCAAGCGTGACTCATCTTGAGGGGGCTCGAACGCCAGTCGTAAGTCGCGCTGGATATCGTCCAGCGTGGGGAATGCCAACTCGTTTACAACGAGCTTCCCAAGAGCCCATTCTTTGGCTTTACCAACAAGCCGAGACAGTAGGAAATTAATCTTGGCCGTCGGAGCGTCAATCAACCTTGACGCTATGGCGATATCAATCTCCCTAAACCAGCGATTAAGGGGGAGACGATCTGGACCATCACCAGAGTATGTCGACGTCTCCATTTTAATTGCATCGTAATGGGAGGGGCGCGAGGGAGTATGTACTCGCCGGTTCGCTTCGGCGAGCTCGCGCACCATGTAGTCTTGAATGGCGGCACGGTGTTGTTCGGGCGTCGCTGTGCTCAGCAGCGACGTCACGAAGATTTCACCAGACACCGCCGCGAGGCGGTGTAATGCCTGCCATTCTACCGTAGTGAGATGGGGAAAATCTGCATGCTCCAGCGAAACTGCTGGAGCCATCGAAGATTCACTCATATCCATCTCGAACTTGGTCATGGGAAGGACTACGAAGTGCTACCAGGTGTAACGGGGTGAGAGCCCGTTACCGTCTTACACTAATAATTAAGCTGAGGAAGCGCTGTGATTTATAAGGTAAATTTAACTCTGTTTGTATTTTTGTGTTTTTATAATTCGCAGTAAGTGCGAATATGTTCCCTAGCTCATGGGAACCACTCAAATACAGAACTAATTATTATTGGCTAATTATTGGGCTGGCACCCCAATAATAAACCAATAATAAATAGACGCGCAGTATCCGCTATCCGGATACTGCCTACACTTAATGTATGTAATTATGTAATAAAACTATGACTACTTAATATAATGGGTTGCCCCATTACATCAAGTGTATAAGCGCCTACACTTGATCCGTTATTGACTATGACATTCAATGTCTCTGTCATTTCCTGGGGACTTATTCCCTCAGGCCTCGAAGACTTATTCCTTCGGCTTTCCGGGGACTCATTCCCTCGGGTTTCAGGGAACTTATTTCCGCCGTATTAGTAATTTCGGGACTTATTCCCTTAACTTCCTCTAGCTGTGGTTGCGCAACCACAGCGAGATCCTCTACGAAAGACTCTCCAGTCGATCCAGGATTACTGTTTCGCTTAACCTGAGCGATCGGTGGTTTCTCTCCTAGATGTTCCCGCTAGGGATACATCTTTGTCCCGGTCCACTCGACTTATTCGAATGGTGGACCTTCGGCGCTGCCTGTGCTTCCTCACAGCCGCCGTGATCTTTCTCCGAAGTGTAACCGTTTGGTACACTAAGGCTTTGTGCAGTCGTACTAACGACCGTACCACAAGTGAGGCCATCGCACTCACTCGTAGTACATCCACACGCTTGTGGACGCTCCAAAACGTCCATCAGATGGCTATCTGATGAACAAGCGGCAGGCACGTTACTGCTCGATGTTTCCAGTTTACTCGTGGTTCGTATCTTCTGAGCCACGATATTCCAAGGATGACATCAAATTTGTCATCCAGATCCAATACGATAAAGTCGTCGTCATATCGGGTATCTTCTAGCGTATAGTGGATCTTCACTAAACGTTTCATGACGGTTACGGATGCGCCTGTCGCAAGACGTACCATCATCCTCGTAGGAGGTGTGTCACACTCACTGAATTTAAAGTGACCATCTTCTAGCGATTGGCGTCGCACAAAATTGTTGGACGCCCCACAATCGACTAGAGCTCGAAGGGACAACTTATTCGTCACTTCGAGTTTCAAGGCAATGACTGAGATCTCATTGCCTAGAGCAGCAACGCACAACGTCTGTGTGTTGGGAGCAACCTTCATCAAGAGGCCTACGAATTCTCTTGACGTTGCTGGACCAGTAGGGTGCTCCGCACCTACTGATCCTGTCCGTTTTTTGACGGTCCATCCCGTTGTTGCGTCTTTGCACCAACTGCGGACCCTCGTCCCTGCCCCTTTCTCATGGGTGGACGGTCACTACGCCCAGTGTCGCGAGACACTGGACGAGGGGCACTACACTCGTAAGCGTAGTGTCCTGTCTTTTGACATCTGTTGCATTTCTGCAACTTCTTGTAGTCTGTAGAGCGAGCCTTCTCGCTCTCTACATAACAGAGTTCCATCGGCTCTGGACCTCCGCTGTCATATCGTCTCGGTGTACGATATGATGTCGAGCTGGTGCGAGACTGTCTCAGACTGAAGTCTTCCTATTCCGCAATGGAAATTGCTTGTTCTAGTGAATCTGGTTCAAGTCGGAACAGGTGAGTCTTGACGGGACCATCCGCAAGACCCTGCATGAACACCGAAACCAACCTGTGTTCATCAACCGGGTTGGAACTTATACAACTCGTGAGATGTCGTATATGTTGCGCGTAAGCGTGCACATCACGCTTATCCTGTTTGAGCTTCAAGAGTTCGGTTCGAGCTCTGAACTCAGCTCTAGGCGGTTCAAACGTTTGTCTGAGCCGCGACTTGAAGACTTCCAACGACCCAAACGCATATCGGTCGTGCAACTTGAGCCCCAGTGCCCAAGTCTTGGCACGTCCTGCCAGATTTGACTGGGCAAATGCAACTTGCATATCCCCGTCATCGATGCGACGCGCCCTTATGGCGTCATCCAATTCGACGAACTATCTTAACAAAGAGTCCCCTTCGACTCCCCTATACTTGGAGATGTCAATCTTCAAGGTCTCGGGTCGACGCGAGTGCATCGACCCACCAGCAGCAGCCTGCTGCTGTCTCAACAGTTCAAACTGTTGAGCACCCTGTTCTCTCAACAACTCTGCTTGTTGAGAAACTTGTTGGTGAAGCAAGGCTACTTTCTCGCGTTCTGCGTCAAGTTCATTTTGAATGAACTTGGCGATAGTAGCATGTTGGGCATCTCTATTGAGAGCCTCTAGCATGACGCTAACAGCATGGATGCCCATGGTCGAACCCATTCGTTCAACCGCATCCCATTCGACATTGCTCAAATGGGAGTAGCCGTCACGCGTAGCGTGAAAGCTTTGGTCATCTTCATCATCCAACATATTCATGTTGGATGTGAACGCGGTCCTTGGACGGACTACGAAGTGCTACCAGGTGTATCAGGACACCCTGAAGCTTGTACTGGTGACAGTACAAGCTACTTATTCTGATGACAGAATAAGGCGGTGCCTCGTAACTTCACGTACACTCGTACGTGCAGAGGAAGACGGTAAGAAGAAGCGAGTACTTGGTTAAAGTAAAAAGTAGAACTGTATTTATAATAGTTAATGTCTGCAATAAATCACTATTTATGTAACGGGGCACCCTGAAGCTTGTACTGGTGACAGTACAAGCTACTTATTCTGATAACAGAATAAGGCGGCGCCTCGTAACTTCACGTACACTCGTACGTGCAGAGGAAGACGGTAAGAAGAAGCGAGTACTCGGTTAGAGTAAAAAGTAGAACTGTATTTGTAATAGTTAATGTCTGCAATAAATCACTATTTATCTTCATCTAACTATGTCTAAATACAAATGTGTAAATCAGTTATCTGCTCACCACTCATTGCGTGCGTCTGTCGTGGCGCGTCTTCGTTGGTTGATATAATGGCCTATATCAACCAATTAGGAACTACTCGGAAGTGCTACAGAATATTGTCCTTATGACAATATTCTGAGAATATAACTCTTATAGTTATATTCTATTAACAATTTCTTATAAATTGTTATGTAACGATTCACCCCGTTACATCACCCCCCCCCTTAACCATCAGTCACTTTAGTGACTGATTGACTAAATGGATACTCGTCCCAAATCATTTGGGACGGGGTTGGCACTTGTTGGTCCGCGTCCACTTTCCAACATCTCATCGCATGGTAAACAAGCCCATGCGATGCGCGAGCAAGGCCGCCGAGAGCGCGTCTGCACGTCTCTGTGCGGACGCCGAAGCAGAAACTACAGCAACTGATATCCCATCGGTTGCTGAATCGATTCAGCCTGTATCACCTGGTGATGCAGGCGCTGGTCATGAAGACACTCGTGTCTTCACAGAGTACGAGCTCGGTGTCTCGTACTCTCCTGATACGGATGACGGATCCGTATCGACGGCAATTGAATCCAAGCCGCCTGCCAAGCGTGGCATGGACGATGCTTTGCGTCGCAGCATCTTTGGTTCATCTGATGAGTCAGATGAACCATCGCCAACGAAGGCGCTCGAGGTCGCGAGACTCGGGCGCTAATAGTGGTGTCGGTTCTCCTATGGACACCACTTCACAGCGAGGTGCCAGTACTTCTGTCGGCACGTCGCAGGAAGAGCGGGACCGCAATGTGTTGCGTCTCGCTCCAGAAAAGAAGGCATGGATGCCTCCTAAATCCGTCATGGATCACTTGTCGGCGACGACGAGTGATCGTTATCGAACACGATTGTTCGATTCGTCAGAGATCCATCACCTTGACCCCAGCGCGAAAGACTATCGCGCTGAACATGAGTTCTTCATCGATGCTTTCTTCAGACATCGATGGTACAGTGGGAATCACAAACGTGATGGTCCCTCACTACTTCAGGCGTGGAACGCCTACATCCATAATCTCGAGGATGTAGGTCGTGACGCTTGGAACGACAAACTTATCAAAGCTCGTGATAAGTTTGAAAAGCGAACCCCGACAGGTGCACGCTACAAGCTGCATCGTCTGTCAAGGGAGAAAGGATTACCCTGCCTCTCTTGGGGAGACTCGTGCCCATGTTGTGTGAACAACTCTGCACGAGCACCTAAGGAGGCTTACCTCCTTACCAGCCCGTGGTGGCGCGTACGTGTCTCTACTGAGATGTACGAAGGGATTGACAACCTGAAATCCCTTTACGACCGTGCCGGGAAGACTTTCTCCGGCGGTCCTTCTGCGGCACAGGATGTGCCGCGTCGTACTGCTCGACCAGACCCAGTACGTCAACCATCAATTGGGAGCGGGGCTCCCAAGAATCCCAGGACGGGGGATAGCCGCGCCACCGGACGAGGTAACTCGTCCGACGTCCGTTCACGTCGCGGTGGTTCAACAGCTGCTCTACTAGATAGCGCTGGCCACCGCGAGAGTCCTCTACTGGAGGTGGAGGAGGAGGAAAGACGCTCTCCACACGATCATGTGGATCGGTGTGTTCCCGAGAGCTTCTTTGATCGCGTAACGCAAGGGTTACGCGACGATCTCGAGCATGAGCGGAATAGGCGTCTCCAGATGGTGGACACTGCCTCGAAGCATCGAGCTGAGTTTGCCTTTGCTCAGCTTGAGAACGAGAGATCTCTGACATCTCTTCGTGACGAGCTAAGGGTAGCTCGTGGGATTGTTGATCGGTCTCGGGCTGAGATAACTGCTCTTCAGACCCTTGTTGATGCCCACCATCAGGAGCACAAGGCTCTCTGCGAGATGCTTGAGCGCAAGGGCGTTCTTCATCGGAAGAAGCAGCGTACTGATGGTACGGCTTAAGCCGACCAACGTAAAACGTGGGATGCGTTCGCATCTTACGTGGTAACTCGATCGTGTATGCATTGCCTAGGCGGTGCAATACACGAAATGGGCCAATGTACTTGGGTAGTAGTTTACTGCTACCCAAGTTAGTCACTACATGCTTTGGTAGATTAACCGTAGACAGTAGGACTAAGTCACCTTTATTAAATAAAGAGTGTTTGCCCTTCCATTCTTGTCAGCGTTTTGCTTTTGCTTATCCACCGCTTCGGCGATGGAGTCTTGCACAAAACGGACTACCGTTTCACGAGCCAGTATGAACTCATCTGATGACTCGTTAGCTTCAGTGTGCTGTGAGCGCACTGCAGCAACAACAACCTTTTCTTCAGTGAGGGCTTCCGCACTCTCACTGGGATCATTGTCTTCAGTGAGGGCTTCCGCACTCTCACTGGCATCATCTTCTTCGATATCGATGTTATCGATATCGGCATCAAACGCAATGACTTCTTCGTCAGAGCGTGATGAGCGTGAACCAAATCGGTTTTTGCTCGCGCGAGTCCCTCCCCCCTTAAACCAGAGTTACACTCTAGTAAGGTGGGTACACGCGGATGGCGCAAGCCATTCACGTAAAACGGTGTATGTGTCGTGGACGCATGCACCGAGTTGTTGATGGCAAACTCTACCATCGGCAAAAACTCACTCCAACTCTTAAAGGAGTGTACGTATCCTCGAAGTATCTCTTCAAGGACACGATTGGCACGTTCCGTCTGACCATCTGACTCTGGATGATCAGATGTTGACATCTTCAAGCGCGTTCCGAGTGATTTGAACACGGAACGCCAGAAATCAGCAGTGAATCGTGGATCTCTGTCTGATACGAGTTCACGGGGCAACCCATGAAGTCGGAAGATGGTGTCAATAAAGACACAAGCACAGCCACTTGCCGTGATTGTCTCTGGTACAGCCACAAGGTGTACCATTTTGCTGAATCTGTCAACAAATACGAGAATACCCGTATTCCCGCGTGCGTCTTTGGGTAACCCGAAGACGAAATCCATTGAGATGGATTCCCAGCACTCAGCCGGAACCGGTAGAGGCTGTAAAGGTGCACGCAGTGAAGGACTTGACTTCACTCGTTGGCAGACTTCACATGCGCGAACATACTTTCGCACAAACTGATACTGGCGGGGCCAGTAAAAGTCTCGACTTACCGTGAGATATGTTTTCTCTCGGCCACGATGTCCTCCTATAGGAGCATCGTGATACTCGAACATGATCCGCAAACGCAGATCAGTATCATCTGGAATGACAACACGTGGTGTGTCACCAGAAACGGCTGTATAGTACAGTAAACCGTTATGAGTAGTGTATCGATCTGATGCAGATCGATACGCAGACGACAATCGTTTCAACGATTCTCGAGATGGTTGGGAGAGATGTGACAACAACTTCACTATCTCACCATCTTGGGCGTATGCCCGCCTCACATCATCATACAACGTTGTAGATGGAACTGAGGACGTCATAACCGCAACAGTGACTGTCTCACTGTTGGGTTTCGCGACTGTTTCAAAGTCGGGACGACGTGAGAGTGCATCAGCGACGACATTAAGTCGTCCTGGTTTGTACTCGACCGTAAAGTTGTATTCTGCAAAGAATGACAACCACCGCGCCATTCGTTGTGAAAGGTGCGGGCTGTTCACTGCCGTGCGTAAGGACGCATGGTCAGTGTAAACAACGAAGGGTCTATCTCCTAATAGATAGACTCTGAACTTCGCGAGTGCATACTTCATGGCAAGGAGTTCCTTGTCATGCACTGGATAGTTCCGCTCAGCTGGTTGCAGCTGACGCGACTGATAGCAGACGACGCGTTCAACGCCTTCAAGGTCGTACTGCATTAATGCACAGCCGATTGCGAAATCGCTGGCATCACAGACCACATGAAATGGCCTGTCCTGATCGGCTATTGCTAGGACTGGGGATTGTATCAAGCTCTGCTTGATACCCTCAAAGGAGCGTTGACATTCAGCGTTCCATAACCACCTCTCGTTCTTTTTCAACAAACGAGAGAGGTGTACAGTCATCTCGGCGTAATTGCGTGAATACTTATGCAAATACGCCGCTAGCCTAAGGAATTTTCGAAGACCTTTGACATCGACCGGCACAGGCCAGTCGGTGATCGCCTTGATCTTTTCGGGATCAGGACGTACACCGTTCTTACCAACGATGCACCCAAGAAGTGGTATTTCGCTTGCTGCAAATATACACTTCTTGAGGTTAGCATACAATTGATGCTTTCGCATGATTGTAAGAACTTGTCGGACGTGGTACCTGTGAACCTCAACGTCCGACTTTCCATCCATAGCTCGACTATGGATGAATACGTCATCGAAATAACTCGGCGCGAACTCTCGTACTGGTCTCAACAGATGTGATACACATCTGTTGAACGTGGCAGGGGCATTACTGAGCCCTTGTGGCATTACTAGCCATTCCCAGAGCATGCCGCTAGGCGTGCTAACTGCGGTATAGGGTATATCCCGTTCCCGCATTAGGATTTGATAGAAGCCATCCATCAAATCCATGGACGAAAAGATGGTACTCTTTGACATACCATCAATGATTACGTCCTTCCTCGGTATCGGCGTCTGAGCCGGTACCGTTGCAGCGTTCAATTTGTTAAACGCGTGCACTATCCGCCACCCTCCTGTTGCTTTTCGCACACAGAAGGTCGGAGAGCTATGTGGGGAAGTTGATTCCCTCACATGGCCCGCTGCTAAACGATCGGCAAAGAACTTGTCGATCGCAAGTACTTGTTCACGAGGCAGTGGCCACTGCTTCATGACACAGTACTTCGAGCCTGGTTTAAGCTCGACTTCGTGTCGAATACCTTTATCCTTCGGTAATTCGCACGGAACAGTTTCAGGGAATACATCCTTGAATTCAACCAAATCTTCATAGAGAGGATTTTCCTTGAGCGATTCCCATGATTGGGACTCATATCGCTCAATTCGTGTCTTTTCATCTAGGACACTCTCGTCCATAGATGAACTACTGAGAACTCTCTCGTTCTCAGTAAACACTGTTGCTGACCTTATGTCGGTTACATACTCGTCGTCAGCGACGAGTATGCAGATCTGCTTGACTTTGCCACTACGCAGATCACGCAAGAACCTTTTATGTTCGAGCGTTGGCAACTGAAGTGATCTCCGAAGTTAACTTCGGAGGCGCAATCAGATCAAGTGTATAAGCGCCTACACATGATCCGTTATTGACTATGACATTCAATGTCTCTGTCATTTCCTGGGGACTTATTCCCTCAGGCTTCGAAGGACTTATTCCTTCGTCTTCCCGAGGACTTATTCCCGCGGGTTTCAGGGAACTTATTTCCGCCGTATTTGTAATCTTGGGACTTATTCCCTTTACTTCCTCTAGCTGGGGTTGCGCAACCACAGCGAGATCCTCTACGAAAGACTCTCCAGTCGATCTAGGATTATCGTTTCGCTTAACCTGAGCGATCGATTGTTTCTCTTCTAGATGTTCCCCTCTAGGGATACATCTTTGTCCCAGTCCACCCGACTTATTCGAGTGGTGGACCTTCGGCGCAGCCTGTGTTTCCTCACAGCCGCCGGAACTTTGCTCCGAAGTGTAACCGTTTGGTACACTAAGGTTTTGTGCAGTCGTACTAACGACCGTACCACAAGTGAGGCCATCGCACTCACTCGTAGTACATCCACACGCTTGTGGACGCTCCAAAACGTTCATCAGATGGCCATCTGATGAACAAGCGGCAGGCATCGTTACTGTCCGATGTTGCCAGTTTACCCGTGGTTCGTACCTTCTGAGCCACGGTATTCCAAGGATGACATCAAATTTGTCATCCAAATCCAATACGATAAAGTCATCGTCGTATTGGGTATTTTCTAGCGTATAGTGGATCTTCACTATACGCTTCATGACGGTTACGGATGCGCCTGTCGCAAGACGTACCGTCATCCTCGTAGGAGGTGTGTCACATTCACTGAATTTAAAGTGACCATCTTCTAGCGATTGGCGTCGCACAAAATTGTTGGACGCCCCACAATCGACTAGAGCTCGAAGGGACAACTTATTCGTCACTTCGAGTTTCAAGTAATGAGTGAGATCTCATTACCTAGAGCAGCAACGCACAATGTCTGTGTGTTGGGAGCAACCTTCATCAAGAGGCCTACAAATTCTCTTGACGTTGCTGGATCAGTAGGGTGCTCCGCACCTACTGATCCTGTCCGTTTTTGACGGTCCATCCCGTTGTTGCGTCTTTGCACCAACTGCGGACCCTCGTCCCTGCCCCTTTCTCATGGGTGGACGGTCACTACGCCCAGTGTCGCGAGACACTGGACGAGGGGCACTACACTCGTAAGCGTAGTGTCCTGTCTTTTGACATCTGTTGCATCTCTGCAACTTCTTGTAGCCTGTAGAGCGAGCCTTCTCGCTCTCTACATAACAGAGTTCCATCGGCTCTGGACCTCCGTTGTCATATCGTCTCGGTTGACGATATGATGTCGAGCTGGCGCGAGCCTGTCTCAGACTGAAGTCTTCCTGCTCCGCAATTGAAATGGCTTGTTCTAGTGAATCTAGTTCAAGCCGGAACAGGTGAGTCTTGACGGGACCATCCGCAAGACCCTGCATGAACACCGAAACCAACGTGTGTTCATCCACCGGATTGGAACTTATACAACTCGTGAGATGTCGTATATGTTGAGCGTAAGCGTGCACATCACGCTTACCCTGCTTGAGCTTCAAGAGTTCGGTTCGAGCTCTGAACTCAGCTCTAGGCGGTTCAAACGTTTGTCTGAGCCGCGACTTGAAGACTTCCAACGACCCAAACGCGTATGGGTCGTGCAGCTTGAGCCCCAGTGCCCAAGTCTTGGCACGTCCTGCCAGATTTGACTGGGCAAATGCAACTTGCATATCCCCGTCGTCGATGCGACGCGCCCTTATGGCGTCATCCAATTCGACGAACCATCTCAAGAGGGAGTCTTCTTCGACCCCCTATACTTTGAGATGTCAATCTTCAAAGTCTCGGGCCGACGCGAGTGCATCGACCCGCCAGCAGCAGCCTGCTGCTGTCTCAACAGTTCAAACTGTTGAGCACCTTGTTCTCTCAACAACTCTGCTTGTTGAGAACCTTGTTGGTGAAGCAAGGCTACTTTCTCGCGTTCTGCGTCAAGTTCATTTTGAATGAACTTGGCGATAGTAGCATGTTGGGCATCTCTATTGAGAGCCTCTAGCATGACGCTAACAGCATGGATGCCCATGGTCGAACCCATTCGTTCAACCGCATCCCATTCGACATCGCTCAAATGGGAGTAGCCGTCACGCGTAGCGTGAAAGCTTTGGTCATCTTCATCATCCAACATATTCATGTTGGATGTGAACGCGGTCCTTGGACGGACTACGAAGTGCTACCAGGTGTAACGGGGCACCCTGAAGCTTGTACTGGTGACAGTACAAGCTACTTATTCTGATAACAGAATAAGGCGGCGCCTCGTAACTTCACGTACACTCGTACGTGCAGAGGAAGACGGTAAGAAGAAGCGAGTACTCGGTTAGAGTAAAAAGTAGAACTGTATTTATAATAGTTAATGTCTGCAATAAATCACTATTTATCTTCATCTAACTATGTCTAAATACAAATGTGTAAATCAGTTATCTGCTCACCACTCATTGCGTGCGTCTGTCGTGGCGCGTCTTCGTTGGTTGATATAATGGCCTATATCAACCAATTAGGAACTACTCGGAAGTGCTACAGAATATTGTCCTTATGACAATATTCTGAGAATATAACTCTTATAGTTATATTCTATTAACAATTTCTTATAAATTGTTATGTAACGATTCACCCCGTTACAATTTATCTTCATCTAACTATGTCTAAATACAAATGTGTAAATTGATTATCTGCTCACCACTCATTGCGTGCGCCTGTCGTGGCGCGTCTTCGTTGGTTGATATAATGGCCTATATCAACCAATTAGGAACTACTCGTAAGTGCTACAGAATATTCGTCCTTATGACAATATTCTGAGAATATAACTCTTATAGTTATATTCTATTAACAATTTCTTATAAATTGTTATGTAACGATTCACCCCGTTACAGCAGAGTGGGCCGTATCAGAAAAAACATCAGCGAGGGCACTCGTGCAGAGGTTTCACTCAACAAATGATGCACAATTATAGCAAGACCTCATTGATCAGCGGACTGCGTGAACTTTATGGACATTGAGGACTTACATGTTGGAAGCAGTCGTTCGCGCGTGACGGCTTGTTCTAGTCATCGCAAGCATTGCGTCTGAAATGCTCCCATGTCGCTCCCTTACATTCCCTCCCCGCATTCTCTTGCGTCTTCCCGCACGCTCAGCACGTTCTAGCAATTTCTTGTCCCGGACACGAACGTGCAAAGCAGAAAGACGTGCAAGGTCCTCGAGAAATCGAGGAGTGCTTCAGCAAGCGATTGAAACTGCGCCGCGGTTGCTTTCGAAACATTGAGCACTAGCGATCCTGACCTGCACAACCTATCGGCACCCAGAAGCTCCACAAGAGAGTCGCAGATGCCCGTCACGCTGCTTGATGTCATCCTGACACTTTTTACCGTCGCGTTTCGCTTACACTGCCACCCTTTCTCATTCTTTCGATGCTCCATTTGTATGTTTTCGAGTCTGAGCTCATTCAATTGCAGCTACGAGTTTGCGTTGCCCCTGTAACCTTACATCGCTAGCCCCTACGACTGACTTGCTAGAACAAAACAATAGCATCATGATGTGCAAAAGCCGAGCTCCCAACCTCGGCTCGTGTTCGTTCCCAACCTACCAGTGCTGCCTCATGTGTATCCTTCCCATACACTATGCGGCGATCTATTCACACCTGCACTTAGCCGACCATCTTTTCCAGCTCAGCATTAGGTGAATCAGCTGGATCGTGCGTGTTGCTTGATCACAAGAAGGCCGTCGTGCCTGCATCGCTTGATTGCGCCACGTCCATGCATATTGTTGACAAGTACCGCCCCTCGTTCTTGCGTCATCATTGCGCATCACATATCACCAAAGTAAGAGTGCAACTCACCAGCTGATGACCCGTGTGTGGCGCTTATGTGCGCCTTGACAGGCTCATGAGCCCTGCGTACGCCCTGGTCAATTTTGTCAGTGGAGCTTTTCCAGTGTACCAGGCGGTTCAGATACCGACATTATGCTCACCTTTGTCCCCTGCCGTGTCGAACAAAAGAAAGGATCATATTATCGGTATGTTTCGTCGATGCATATTCGCTTCACCGAATATGTTGCAAGGTCATATCGGACTTCGGTTTGTCAGCTGGTATGACCGCTCACGGCACACCATCGCAGCATACTTTTGATTGCGCCATACCAACGGCCAACTTGTCCTTTTTTGCCCTGCGGGCTGTTCCAAAGATTGGTTCGGCTCCCAGTCTCTATGGCTATGCGCTGTTTAAAAAAGTCAGAGGTGGTCGGTCCACTCGTACCGATCACAAACGGTTCCCGCCGTCGCCGCTTTGTCTACGACTTGTTGATAATGAGGCGCAGATTACTCGACCACGCGCTCCGAAGGTGCCTTGAAGTTGGAAAACGGGCGCCAGCAACCTGGTGTGGCAAAGCTGTGCCGTCGGCCCCGCTTTGCCAGCTTCAAATCTCGAGACTTGATGATGCCGGCGTCTTTGTTGCGAGTCGCAGCGAATAGCCGCGGCGCTGTTTGCACAAACTCGCTTGTCCATGAATTAGAGAGACGAGGATTGCGAGCGCACAAACCACCTGTTGATCATAGCGACGTCGTCCAAGTGGCCGAAGCATGATGGACACGGATCGCTTGCGCATACACCCGGAGCTGCTCGACGCCTTGACAGCATCAAACTCGTGCACAGCTGTCCAGCTTTCTTGGATATGACCTGTCAGTTGCTGTGAAAGCTTTATAACCTCGTACCAGATTGCTACGGATCCATTCAGAGAGGTGGCTAGGCTGCAGGATGCTGTAAATTACGCACAAACAGAACGCGAAACAAAGCGTGGTATTGTTACTAGTGTAACGAGTGGGCATTCATTCTGCCCCTCTTAGACTAGTCCGAGACTTCTCTTTTTATAGTAGACGAGTGCTACATACATACTTCTACCTACGACCACGAGCCTAGAGCTCGAAGTCGAACATGAGGTCGCTCGGCGAGGGCTCTTTGGCCTCCTTGGCGACGAGGTCGTGAACCAACAACTGAGGGCCTGACCAGCGCTCGACGCTCTCGCGATGGCAGCACGCGCACTGGGCACAGTCGTCGCCCCCCTCGTTGTCATGGTCATCATCGTCATCGTCATCGTCCCAAAGCCATCGCTTTGTAGACGTGGCCACGTACTTGCGCGACTGCAAGGGGATCAGCACGGGCGTAGCACGGACGGCGTCAGGGTGCCCTATTGCTGCATCCGGGACCTGTTTACGAGCGCGCTCGCGGTGGAGTTTAATGAATTTCGTCATGACCTGCTGGTCTTCGCGGCTCAGCGTGTCACTGCTACGCTCCGAGTCGCAGTCCGTTTCCTCGCCGGACAAGTACATCGGATCCTCATCGTTCATGGCGGCGACCAGCGGCTTGCACGTATCCATGGTGGCAGTGGTGGTGGCGTTGTAATACGCGGACGCCCACGTGGGCAGACTCTGCGTCTGTGGGGTGGGCTGCATGCTGGCTGCAGTCCGCCTCTAGCTTTCGGAGCGTTTTCAAGCGAGGGGACAAGGCGCAGTGGAAGACTCGCACCAGCACGAGATCCACGGGGTACGATGACGATTGTGGACTGAGGGGGTGAGAGAGTGAGTGAGTGAGTGAAGCGTGTGTTTGTTTGATTGTTTGCGGTCGGTCGGGTCGGGTCGCCGATTTGACGGCAGGCGTCAAGGGCACGCGCACGCTCCGACGTCGCTCATTGGCTGATCTGCGGGTGATAGAGAGTGACTATTTCCAAGCCTTGGCCCTCTTGGCAATTGCTCGGCCTTTTTCTACGATGTTGTCAGGCGGCTGAAAAACTTAAACCAGCGTGGTCACACATGTCTTTGCTAGGCTTTCGAGACATTTTGTTAAGGTCATCATGGCCTCGTCGTCCCTGGAGGGTTTAGATAGTTTAGGGCAGAGAGAAGACGAGAACGAACGAACCGGCTGTAAACTTTTGGTCTGGCCGGACTAACAATAGAGAAGATGAGAGACCGGCCAGCCAACTGTTTGCCGCATGCGCAGTCGAATGTCCACGAAAGTGCGTCGCTAGTGACGAGAACGCCACCGGTTTTCACGAATGGCGTGCCAAGCGTCGCGGCGGGTCTTGCATACTGAGTGTAAGACAAAACGGTGTCTGCGCGATTCGGGCCTCGTACGGAACGAATCTGCTGGAAAAGTTGAGATTCGAAAACCGTTATCGGTTTTGACGAGAGTCAACTGCAACCCACACTAGGGTTCTGCCTCCTCCGCTGACGGTGGCACGAGACGAACACTCCGTTGGACGGGGGCCGCTTGCTCACTGGTTGGTAAGCATCACCATCACTGACGACGTGCGGGCCGCCGGGCGATAGTAAACGAGACAGGGATAAGATCTGGGCAAGTTGATGTTCAAGATACAGTATTGATAGGTGTGCGGTAGACCAGCGCCCGATCGTTGTTTGCCCCGACAGCTCGGGCCCTGCCTGGGCGAATAAATAATAGCTCAACGACTGACTGACTGACTGACTGACTGACCGCTGACTACACTTGATAATTACGAGAGAAAAAGACAACACACACATACACACACACAGTCTACAGTTCCATAGCGAAGATGGCGCCATCGCGGACGTCCACGCCCGTCGGAGAAGCCGGAACAGCCTCGAGCTTGAGTGAGAGCGCACTGACAGTCGTCTGTTGGGTCGGCTGGACGCCGTGCTGTGAGCGGAAAAAGGCCAAATTGCCATAAAACACCGGGTCGTCTTCGTCCAGCTCGGCGTAGTTTGCTTCGTCGATATAACGACTGGCCTGCAAGAGCCGCACGTCGGCATGATAAGACAGATTCGGGCTCTCACTGACGCTCTCGCACAGGCGCGAAGGCAGCTGCTGGCGGCTGCTGGATGGAATACTGATCGGTGCCGTGCGTGCCCACACGTGCTGAGGGCTCTTGGTGGCGGACTTGCGCTTGGCTTCAGGACGATGCTGGCCGTCGTCAGAGTCACTGTCCGAGTGCGCACAGTCCGTCTCGGCGTACGAGGAAGGCATGAAGCTGCACTGGTGCAGCGTGGTAAATCGTTCCATCGAGTGTTGCATGCTGCTGGCCTTATCGGAGGCTTCTGTAGTTGGTGGCAGATTCAATAATGAGAGCGACATCATGTCTGTCAGCGACCACCGGCCATTAGCATCCCGCCTGTCTATCGTCAGCCCGTCGCGCCAGCAGAATTTTCCATTCGTGCACGTCACTGGATTGGCTATTATTGTTTGAGAGCGATCTAATCCGTGACGTCCGTCGAACCCCGGAAAAAAAGATACGGGGAAGTGTGTAGTCGAACAAAAGGCCGCACTAAAGTAGCGGACGGCAAGGTCGATTCGCTGCATTATGCAATGGACACAATCTTCTCACTGCATAACAATCGAAAGTCACAGCTATCACACTAAGCGCCTTTGCTTGTTGCTGCGTTGCCGTTCTCGTGGTCGCACGAGACTCCGACGACGACAACGCCGGCAACAACGACTTTACTACAGCACGTTCCTAATCGCACTGGATCGAAAAGGCCGCGACAAACGCGCACCGCAGCCACGAGCAAATTCTGCGACCTCCTGAGCGTAAGAAGAGCCACCCAACCAACGCACGTGCTTGTCTGTGACAGTCAAGCAGCATCAAAAAGGACAGTCTCGTCCAAACGAAGCACGTTGTCTGAACTCTGCACTGGACAATCGACGAAGCTTGTCCGGCGTTGCTTGCAATCCCTCGTCGTCGGCGAAGCGTGGGCGCCTCAACACCAGCCAAGCGTTACACCACAAGGCGGCACGAATTCTACATACAGGAGGAGGGTAACGTTCTCGATGATAGGTCGGTCGCGCGTCGGCCCGATGAACAAAAACCGGGCATCTCAGGGCGCAATCACTCGAAAAAGTAGACGCGACAGGGGTAGGTCTTTGTCTCATGGATGAGGTAACTGACGCCGTTGAAGCTCAATATTCGGGGTAAGTCTTCCATTGTTCTCCTTTTTCTACGTTGTGCAAGTGTTCGCACGGCTCGTTCGAGACCGCGAGGACAGCGTCCAATCAGTTTGGACCTTCCGGTTCGTTCATGGCGCCTGCTTGGTCAGGTCATCGATTGATCTACGTACTGACAGGATGCAGTCTTCAAACCGAGGGTTTCATGACCGGTGTGACAGTGTTTAGCTGTAAAGCTAGTGGTTTGTAATGTGTAATGCGGTGCTACCGGAACTTTTTACTGGCACTTAACGCAATACGTGCAAACATCCGAGCTGTGCAAGTGTCTGGCCAAGTTTTGAAACTGACACTTTGAATCAAGACGCGGTAGCATTTTTACGAAAATAGAAATTTGATAAGTGATCAAAATGAGCGATGTTTCTAAATCTAGTCTTAATTCGAGCATACTCCGACCATCATCGGACTAAATTTTGGTCTTTCGATGCATGGATTCAGTCGATACGTTGGCTGAATCGAGGTACTGTCGTAAACTTGGCTAGTGAACGACAATCGTGCAATACAGCCGAGTTTCGTACCACAGGGGCCAAATCATGCTATCCGTGCAGTCCACGTAGTTGCTTATGGCTACCAAATGTAGTTGCAACGGCCGCCGCCTGAAACGCGTGACTGCGTTCATTTCAGTGCGTCTGACTCGTCGGTGTTCGTAAAGCAAACACTGAGTTCGTTTCTCATCTCTTATCGACAGTCCTTCGTTTGAGATGGTGCATGAAGTGCACTGCTGAGGCACAAAAGATTGATGCAAAATGAAACACCACCTTCATGAGCTGAAGTTTCGCTCGATGTGAGAAACTTGGTATTCCGTGACCCGTTCAATAGTCTCTTTGACCATTTTGAGCCGCTGTCCTCGCACTTGCAACAGAAAAGAAGGTATCGAAAGATCCGGACTTGCATACATCGCACTCAATTTTTGCACTGCAAGAAGTATCGCGCTGGTCATGCGAACAGATATTTATCCGGCACGCACTTGCGAATGTCATGACGACTGGTTCCAAGACACGCACGCCACTGCGACTTGAAGCCGGACACAAACCTTTGGCCAAGGTCCAATCTTCAATTTTGTGCACGCAGACTCGCCATGACACGAACGTTGAGATTGCGGACAAGTTTATATGGACTACAATATCAGCTCGGTCCAGCATAGCCAGTGTATTTGAAATGACGCAAGCTAGCAACCGCCGATTCATCTGTGCTTTTCGAAGGCATGTGATTCCGGATTCGTGCGAGATGGAGGAAAAATCCAGAAACCGCCGGGCACCCACATAAACTTCGTGTCAGCAAAAGCACGACCATTTTCCCTACATCCTCTACGTATGCATCATGTCATGCGATGCCAAGCTTAACGGGTCGTAAAATTTTCCTGTTTTACCACGTCAAAGAATGAAGACATGGAAATTATTACAGCGAAGTGGGCGTGCCCTGACCTCCTAGTGCGCTGCCGAGTGACAGAAAAAGCGATGGTCTAAAGGGAACGTGTAACGGGGCACCCTGAAGCTTGTACTGGTGACAGTACAAGCTACTTATTCTGATAACAGAATAAGGCGGTGCCTCGTAACTTCACGTACACTCGTACGTGCAGAGGAAGACGGTAAGAAGAAGCGAGTACTCGGTTAGAGTAAAAAGTAGAACTGTATTTATAATAGTTAATGTCTGCAATAAATCACTATTTATCTTCATCTAACTATGACTAAATACAAATGTGTAAATCAGTTATCTGCTCACCACTCATTGCGTGCGTCTGTCGTGGCGCGTCTTCGTTGGTTGATATAATGGCCTATATCAACCAATTAGGAACTACTCGGAAGTGCTACAGAATATTGTCCTTATGACAATATTCTGAGAATATAACTCTTATAGTTATATTCTATTAACAATTTCTTATAAATTGTTATGTAACGATTCACCCCGTTACATCACCCCCCCCTTAACCATCAGTCACTTTAGTGACTGATTGACTAAATGGATACTCGTCCCAAATCATTTGGGACGGGGTTTGCACTTGTTGGTCCGCGTCCACTTTCCAACATCTCATCGCATGGTAAACAAGCCCATGCGATGCGCGAGCAAGGCCGCCGAGAGCGCGTCTGCACGTCTCTGTGCGGACGCCGAAGCAGAAACTACAGCAACTGATGTCCCATCGGTTGCTGAATCGACTCAGCCTGTATCACCTGGTGATGCAGGCGCTGGTCATGAAGACACTCGTGTCTTCACAGAGTACGAGCTCGGTGTCTCGTACTCTCCTGATACGGATGACGGATCCGTATCGACGGCAATTGAATCCAAGCCGCCTGCCAAGCGTGGCATGGACGATGCTTTGCGTCGCAGCATCTTTGGTTCATCTGATGAGTCAGATGAACCATCGCCGAAGCGAAGGCGCTCGAGGTCGCGAGACTCGGGCGCTAATAGTGGTGTCGGTTCTCCTATGGACACCACTTCACAGCGAGGTGCCAGTACTTCTGTCGGCACGTCGCAGGAAGAGCGGGACCGCAATGTGTTGCGTCTCGCTCCAGAAAAGAAGGCATGGATGCCTCCTAAATCCGTCATGGATCACTTGTCGGCGACGACGAGTGATCGTTATCGAACACGATTGTTCGATTCGTCAAGGATTCATCACCTTGACCCCAGCGCGAAAGACTATCGCGCTGAACATGAATTCTTCATCGATGCTTTCTTCAGACATCGATGGTACAGTGGGAATCACAAACGTGATGGTCCCTCACTACTTCAGGCGTGGAACGCCTACATCCATAATCTCGAGGATGTAGGTCGTGACGCTTGGGAACGACAAACTTATCAAAGCTCGTGATAAGTTTGAAAAGCGAACCCCGACAGGTGCACGCTATAAGCTGCATCGTCTGTCAAGGGAGAAAGGATTACCCTGCCTCTCTTGGGGAGACTCGTGCCCATGTTGTGTGAACAACTCTGCACGAGCACCTAAGGAGGCTTACCTCCTTACCAGCCCGTGGTGGCGCGTACGTGTCTCTACTGAGATGTACGAAGGGATTGACAACCTGAAATCCCTTTACGACCGTGCCGGGAAGACTTTCTCCGGCGGTCCTTCTGCGGCACAGGATGTGTCGCGTCGTACTGCTCGACCAGACCCAGTACGTCAACCATCAATTGGGAGCGGGGCTCCCAAGAATCCCAGGACGGGGGATAGCCGCGCCACCGGACGAGGTAACTCGTCCGACGTCCGTTCACGTCGCGGTGGTTCAACAGATGCTCTACTAGATAGCGCTGGCCACCGCGAGAGTCCTCTAATGGAGGTGGAGGAGGAGGAAAGACGCTCTCCACACGATCATGTGGATCGGTGTGTTCCCGAGAGCTTCTTTGATCGCGTAACGCAAGGGTTACGCGACGATCTCGAGCATGAGCGGAATAGGCGTCTCCAGATGGTGGACACTGCCTCGAAGCATCGAGCTGAGTTTGCCTTTGCTCAGCTTGAGAACGAGAGATCTCTGACATCTCTTCGTGACGAGCTAAGGGTAGCTCGTGGGATTGTTGATCGGTCTCGGGCTGAGATAACTGCTCTTCAGACCCTTGTTGATGCCCACCATCGGGAGCACAAGGCTCTCTGCGAGATGCTTGAGCGCAAGGGCGTTCTTCATCGGAAGAAGCAGCGTACTGATGGTACGGCTTAAGCCGACCAACGTAAAACGTGGGATGCGTTCGCATCTTACGTGGTAACTCGATCGTGTATGCATTGCCTAGGCGGTGCAATACACGAAATGGGCCAATGTACTTGGGTAGTAGTTTACTGCTACCCAAGTTAGTCACTACATGTTTTGGTAGATTAACCGTAGACAGTAGGACTAAGTCACCTTTATTAAATAAAAGAGTGTTTGCCCTTCCATTCTTGTCAGCGTTTTGCTTTTGCTTATCCACCGCTTCGGCGATGGAGTCTTGCACAAAACGGACTACCGTTTCACGAGCCAGTATGAACTCATCTGATGACTCGTTAGCTTCAGTGTGCTGTGAGCGCACTGCAGCAACAACAACCTTTTCTTCAGTGAGGGCTTCCGCACTCTCACTGGGATCATTGTCTTCAGTGAGGGCTTCCGCACCTCTCACTGGCATCATCTTCTTCGATATCGATGTTATCGATATCGGCATCAAACGCAATGACTTCTTCGTCAGAGCGTGATGAGCGTGAACCAAATCGGTTTTTGCTCGCGCGAGTCCCTCCCCCTTAAACCAGAGTTACACTCTAGTAAGGTGGGTACACGCGGATGGCGCAAGCCATTCACGTAAAACGGTGTATGTGTCGTGGACGCATGCACCGAGTTGTTGATGGCAAACTCTACCATTGGCAAAAACTCACTCCAACTCTTAAAGGAGTGTACGTATCCTCGAAGTATCTCTTCAAGGACACGATTGGCACGTTCCGTCTGACCATCTGACTCTGGATGATCAGATGTCGACATCTTCAAGCGCGTTCCGAGTGATTTGAACACGGAGCGCCAGAAATCAGCAGTGAATCGTGGATCTCTGTCTGATACGAGTTCACGGGGCAACCCATGAAGTCGGAAGATGGTGTCAATAAAGACACAAGCACAGCCACTTGCCGTGATTGTCTCTGGTACAGCCACAAGGTGTACCATTTTGCTGAATCTGTCAACAAATACGAGAATACCCGTATTCCCGCGTGCGTCTTTGGGTAACCCGAAGACGAAATCCATTGAGATGGATTCCCAGCACTCAGCCGGAACCGGTAGAGGCTGTAAAGGTGCACGCAGTGAAGGACTTGACTTCACTCGTTGGCAGACTTCGCATGCGCGAACATACTTTCGCACAAACTGATACTGGCGGGGCCAGTAAAAGTCTCGACTTACCGTGAGATATGTTTTCTCTCGGCCACGATGTCCTCCTATAGGAGCATCGTGATACTCGAACATGATCCGCAAACGCAGATCAATATCATCTGGAATGACAACACGTGGTGTGTCACCAGAAACGGCTGTATAGTACAGTAAACCGTTACGAGTAGTGTATCGATCTGATGCAGATCGATACGCAGACGACAATCGTTTCAACGATTCTCGGGATGGTTGGGAGAGATGTGACAACAACTTCACTATCTCACCATCTTGGGCGTATGCCCGCCTCACATCATCATACAACATTGTAGATGGGACTGAGGACGTCATAACCGCAACAGTGACTGTCTCACTGTTGGGTTTCGCGACTGTTTCAAAGTCGGGACGACGTGAGAGTGCATCAGCGACGACATTAAGTCGTCCTGGTTTGTACTCGACCGTAAAGTTGTATTCTGCAAAGAATGACAACCACCGCGCCATTCGTTGTGAAAGGTGCGGGCTGTTCACTACCGTGCGTAAGGACGCATGGTCAGTGTAAACAACGAAGGGTCTATCTCCTAATAGATAGACTCTGAACTTCGCGAGTGCATACTTCATGGCAAGGAGTTCCTTGTCATGCACTGGATAGTTCCGCTCAGCTGGTTGCAGCTGACGCGACTGATAGCAGACGACGCGTTCAACGCCTTCAAGGTCGTACTGCATTAATGCACAGCCGATTGCGAAATCGCTGGCATCACAGACCACATGAAATGGCCTGTCCTGATCGGCTATTGCTAGGACTGGGGATTGTATCAAGCTCTGCTTGATACCCTCAAAGGAGCGTTGACATTCAGCGTTCCATAACCACCTCTCGTTCTTTTTCAACAAACGAGAGAGGTGTACAGTCATCTCGGCGTAATTGCGTGAATACTTATGCAAATACGCCGCTAGCCCAAGGAATTTTCGAAGACCTTTGACATCGACCGGCACAGGCCAGTCGGTGATCGCCTTGATCTTTTCGGGATCAGGACGTACACCGTTCTTACCAACGATGCACCCAAGAAGTGGTATTTCGCTTGCTGCAAATATACACTTCTTGAGGTTAGCATACAATTGATGCTTTCGCATGATTGTAAGAACTTGTCGGACGTGGTACCTGTGAACCTCAACGTCCGACTTTCCATCCATAGCTCGACTATGGATGAATACGTCATCGAAATAACTCGGCGCGAACTCTCGTACTGGTCTCAACAGATGTGATACACATCTGTTGAACGTGGCAGGGGCATTACTGAGCCCTTGTGGCATTACTAGCCATTCCCAGAGCATGCCGCTAGGCGTGCTAACTGCGGTATAGGGTATATCCCGTTCCGCATTAGGATTTGATAGAAGCCATCCATCAAATCCATGGACGAAAAGATGGTACTCTTTGACATACCATCAATGATTACGTCCTTCCTTGGTATCGGCGTCTGAGCCGGTACCGTTGCAGCGTTCAATTTGTTAAACGCGTGCACTATCCGCCACCCTCCTGTTGCTTTTCGCACACAGAAGGTCGGAGAGCTATGTGGGGAAGTTGATTCCCTCACATGGCCCGCTGCTAAACGATCGGCAAAGAACTTGTCGATCGCAAGTACTTGTTCACGAGGCAGTGGCCACTGCTTCATGACACAGTACTTCGAGCCTGGTTTAAGCTCGACTTCGTGTCGAATACCTTTATCCTTCGGTAATTCGCACGGAACAGTTTCAGGGAATACATCCTTGAATTCAACCAAATCTTCATAGAGAGGATTTTCCTTGAGCGATTCCCATGATTGGGACTCATATCGCTCAATTCGTGTCTTTTCATCTAGGACACTCTCGTCCATAGATGAACTACTGAGAACTCTCTCGTTCTCAGTAAACACTGTTGCTGACCTTATGTCGGTTACATACTCGTCGTCAGCGACGAGTATGCAGATCTGCTTGACTTTGCCACTACGCAGATCACGCAAGAACCTTTTATGTTCGAGCGTTGGCAACTGAGTGATCTCCGAAGTTAACTTCGGAGGCGCAATCAGATCAAGTGTATAAGCGCCTACACATGATCCGTTATTGACTATGACATTCAATGTCTCTGTCATTTCCTGGGGACTTATTCCCTCAGGCTTCGAAGGACTTATTCCTTCGTCTTCCCGGGGACTTATTCCCGCGGGTTTCGGGGAACTTATTTCCGCCGTATTTGTAATCTTGGGACTTATTCCCTTTACTTCCTCTAGCTGGGGTTGCGCAACCACAGCGAGATCCTCTACGAAAGACTCTCCAGTCGATCTAGGATTATCGTTTCGCTTAACCTGAGCGATCGATTGTTTCTCTTCTAGATGTTCCCCTCTAGGGATACATCTTTGTCCCAGTCCACCCGACTTATTCGAGTGGTGGACCTTCGGCGCAGCCTGTGTTTCCTCACAGCCGCCGGAACTTTGCTCCGAAGTGTAACCGTTTGGTACACTAAGGTTTTGTGCAGTCGTACTAACGACCGTACCACAAGTGAGGCCATCGCACTCACTCGTAGTACATCCACACGCTTGTGGACGCTCCAAAACGTTCATCAGATGGCCATCTGATGAACAAGCGGCAGGCATCGTTACTGTCCGATGTTGCCAGTTTACCCGTGGTTCGTACCTTCTGAGCCACGGTATTCCAAGGATGACATCAAATTTGTCATCCAAATCCAATACGATAAAGTCATCGTCGTATTGGGTATCTTCTAGCGTATAGTGAATCTTCACTATACGCTTCATGACGGTTACGGATGCGCCTGTCGCAAGACGTACCGTCATCCTCGTAGGAGGTGTGTCACATTCACTGAATTTAAAGTGACCATCTTCTAGCGATTGGCGTCGCACAAAATTGTTGGACGCCCCACAATCGACTAGAGCTCGAAGGGACAACTTATTCGTCACTTCGAGTTTCAAGGTAATGAGTGAGATCTCATTACCTAGAGCAGCAACGCACAACGTCTGTGTGTTGGGAGCAACCTTCATCAAGAGGCCTACAAATTCTCTTGACGTTGCTGGATCAGTAGGGTGCTCCGCACCTACTGATCCTGTCCGTTTTTTGACGGTCCATCCCGTTGTTGCGTCTTTTGCACCAACTGCGGACCCTCGTCCCTGCCCCTTTCTCATGGGTGGACGGTCACTACGCCCAGTGTCGCGAGACACTGGACGAGGGGCACTACACTCGTAAGCGTAGTGTCCTGTCTTTTGACATCTGTTGCATCTCTGCAACTTCTTGTAGCCTGTAGAGCGAGCCTTCTCGCTCTCTACATAACAGAGTTCCATCGGCTCTGGACCTCCGTTGTCATATCGTCTCGGTTGACGATATGATGTCGAGCTGGCGCGAGCCTGTCTCAGACTGAAGTCTTCCTGCTCCGCAATTGAAATGGCTTGTTCTAGTGAATCTAGTTCAAGCCGGAACAGGTGAGTCTTGACGGGACCATCCGCAAGACCCTGCATGAACACCGAAACCAACGTGTGTTCATCCACCGGATTGGAACTTATACAACTCGTGAGATGTCGTATATGTTGAGCGTAAGCGTGCACATCACGCTTACCCTGCTTGAGCTTCAAGAGTTCGGTTCGAGCTCTGAACTCAGCTCTAGGCGGTTCAAACGTTTGTCTGAGCCGCGACTTGAAGACTTCCAACGACCCAAACGCGTATGGGTCGTGCAGCTTGAGCCCCAGTGCCCAAGTCTTGGCACGTCCTGCCAGATTTGACTGGGCAAATGCAACTTGCATATCCCCGTCGTCGATGCGACGCGCCCTTATGGCGTCATCCAATTCGACGAACCATCTCAAGAGGGAGTC